CGCTTTCTCCAGAAAGCTGCCCAGGGGCTGGGGGGAGTGAGAGTGAGAAGAATGATTTATGAACTGAGCTGTTCTTCTTCATCAGAGCGCCCCTCCCGACCCCACTCCCTGCAGATGGGCTGAGCCGCCATCTGGGGCACTTAATAAAGCTGTCTGGCCCAGGCAGGAGCCTGCTGTGGAGAGCCCCGGGGCACAGTGTGACCTCGGCCCCATCCTCGCCCCTCTCTGGGCCTCAGGGGCTCCCATCTGTCAAGAGATGGCAGCGCTGGATTGTCCCCTGCCAGAAGTCTCCAGCTGGCTCGGGGGAGGATGCTAGCGGCTTCCAGAAGCTCTGTGCTTGCTTGCTTGACTTGGGATAGAACAGCACTGGGTTCAAGCTCCCCCACTTTGACAACCCCTTCACGAGCATGCCCCGTGGAACTATATCTTGTCAGAAGTCTGCTTTGGAGACCAGCAGTCTCCCCTGAATCACAACTAGGCCCCACCTAAGCAGGTAGACAAACACAAGGCAGTTAGTGACCTTCTGTGGGCTTTAATGGCCTTGCCCATAAAATGGGGTCATAACAGCACCCACCTTGCTAGGTAAGGGTTAAATGAAATGATTCAAGAGATGTGCAATGTGCAGTCTGGTTCTTTCTTTTTTTTTCTTTGGTTGTGCTAGTCCTTGAACTCAAGGCCTAGGCACTGAGCTTTTTCCGCTCAAGGTTAGTGCTCTACCACTTTGAGCCACAGTGCCACTTCCAGCTTTTTGGTGATTAATTGAAGATAAAAGTGTCACAGACTCCCAAACTTACCTGCCCTGGCCGACTTCGAACCACATTCCTCAGATCTCAGCCTCCTGAGTGGTTAGGATTATAGGCGTGAGCTCCCAGTACCCAGCTTGCGGTGTGGTTCTTGGTAAATGCTTGATCCAATAAATCATGATCCAGTTCAATTTCACAACATCACAACAATCAGTCTGAATTCAGGGGGCCGTTTGGGGATAAATATCTGCATCCCTGCTGACATAAATATCTGACATCCCTGCCCTATGTGTTGTGTCCCCCCCCACACACACACACACACATACCTCTGCAGTGACAATGTGGCTGTGTGGCTAGACAGCCATGTATTCTCCACAGGTGATGATGGTGAAAGTTGTGTCCCATCATTTTGCAGCGTTTTGCAGCTCTCCAGTCCTTCCCAGCCACCTTTGGTTTCACAGTGGGTGGTGACAGTGTTCAGAGGGGGAACTTGGCATCTTGGGGAGGGAGGGTAGGAGGGTACTAGCCATCCCAGGGTCTCAAGGACACTGAAGTGCTGGCCCCAGCACTTCATAAGCAGTGCTGAGGAGGATGCAGGACGGTGGCCCCAGGCTGTCCTCTCGCAGGACAGACAGGAGTGAGGCTATGGAGGGTCTCCAGGAAAGAGAGAAGAAAATGGAGCGTTGCTCAGGGAAGCTGCACTGCAGAGCGGGTATGCCTGGGATAGGGAGCTGTGGTGGGTGGTGCTACCTTCCTTGTTGCCTGTGTGGTAGCGTGCAGAGGAAGATAAACTTGTCACATTCAGGCAACAGCCTAAGGGGCCGGGATGGAGGAAGGAGAGGGGTAGGAGAAGACCACAGTCCTCTCCTGCTCCCCTGAGCCCTGGGACCCCGCATGAGCCGGCCTCTGTCTACAACTCCAGGCCCAAGGCTGAGGGACCCCAGCTCCCAGGAGGAGTCAGATAGCTTCACCCAACAAGGTCCCCGCCCAAACCCTGGGCTTTCCTGGGCCAGGGAGCCTCTCCTCTGCCCCCATGGTGTTCATCCTGCCCCCCCCTTGCTGGTACTGAGGCTTGAACTCAGGGCCTGGGTGCTGTCCCTAAGCTTTTTGTCCACTCAAGACCATTGCTCCTCTATTACTTGAGCCACAGCTTCACCTCTGGTTTTCTGGTGGTTAATTGGAGATTAGAGTTTCACAGACTTGCCTGCCAGGGTTGACTTTGAACTTAGATCCTCAGATCTCAGCCTCCTGAGAAGCTAGGTTTATGGGAGTTGGTGCAAGCTCTCGCTTCCCCACTCCAGGGGGTGGGCCCACCATTGCTTACGCAGAGTGAGACATGAGCCAAGTCACTTCTCTCCCTCTCGGGCTCAATTTCACCAATGTAAAACTGCCAGATGCCTTGAAGCTGGCTCACACACAGACAGGGTAGATAGGTGACGTGTGCCTGACTGTGTAGGCCAAGTAGAGGTACCAGCTCCTGGGCCACAGCGAGCTCTGGGAGTGGGGGGCCCTCCCCCTGTCTTCCCCTGCCTTCCCATCTCCTTAGGACTCACCTTTGCCATCCTCCCTATGGCTCAGAAGGAGGTACACCAGTGGGATTAGCCCCTCATCCCAAGGGCTCCTAGGCCCTGTTATTTCCAGGGTTTTGTTTTCTCCAATCTCTACCATACCCTCATTCCCCAGCATAGCAGAGAGAAAGGAAGGAAGGGAGAGGGGAATGGATGGATAGCTGGATGGTAGATGGGTGTATGGAAGACAAATGAGTGGGTGGATGGATGAGTGGATGGATGGATGGGTGGGTGGATGAAGATGGATGGATGGATGAGTAGATGGCTGGATGGATAGATAGATGGATAGATGCATCCGTGGGTGATGGAGAGGTAGACAGAAGGATCAACAGTTGGGTGTACAGGTAGATGGGTAGATGGATGGACGGGTAGGTGGATAGATAGAAGAGTGGGTATACAGGGATAGTTGATGGATGGGGTGGGTGTGTACAGGGGGAGATGGATGGGTGAATAGATTAATGAATGGATGTATACATAAATGAATAGATAGAGAGGAAGGGAAGAAGGGGAATTTTTCAGCCACCAGACCTTATGCCAAGTGAGCTATCACTTGGGAAAGACTCCACACAGGTATCTTAAGGCCTTGTACTCTTACCTCTTTGCGGGAAGGAACCACGCCCCTTCCTCCCCTCCCCTCCCTTCCCCTCGACCTTCCCTCCCTTCCCCTCCCCTCCCCTCCCCTCTCCTCTCCTCCCCTCTCCTCCCCTCCCCTCCCTTCCCCTCGACCTTCCCTCCCTTCCCCTCCCCTCCCCTTCCCTCTCCTCCCCTGTCCTCTCCTCTCCTCCCCTCCCCTCCCTTCCCCTCGACCTTCCCTCGCCAGCCTGTCCTCTAACCCAGTGGGGAAGCAGACCTGGGTTGTGGGATTGTTGGCGAGCTGATGGAACAGGAGACTCCATGTGAACCCTCTGACTTCCTAAGTCCAGCCTCATTTCCACTGCTTGGAGCTGGCTCTGAGGAACTTTCTGACAAATCCTTACGCACAGCCAAGGAATGCTGCTCAGCATCACACTTCTCGCTGATGGGAGGCTGGGGAGGACGTTGGTGAGCCAGGTCCTGCCGGCATTCACTCTGCTGACGCATTACTGAGCATGCCCAGGTGCCGCCCAGTGCCACCCACGCCCACCACTTTCCTCTGTTTATCACCATGTGCAGCCAGGCTGGCATCCACAAAGCCCCTGCCAGAAGCTTCCAGCTCAGCCTAGAGAGCTCCCTCCAGGGGCTGCCATCTGGGCAGGAGGTGGTCAGGGACGGCCCTGACCAGGGACTCCTAAGGGTTAGGAACTTGTCAGTGACACAGATGGCACAGGTGACAAGCCACCTGCCCGGCTGGGAGGAGGGATGGGCTACCTGCCCGGCTGGGAGGAGGGATGGGCTGCGCCTCCCTGACCTCCTGTGGAAATGGGATCTGTTCTCTTACAGAGCGAACTGGGCCGGAAGACAGACATAAAGACATAAAGACCCTTAAGAGGTGTTAACTCACACCAGTCCTATACCCGGCCTGCTCTAGACTCTTGACAACATGGCAGTCTTTACAAAGACACATTCTACTAGAGGCAGATGTATATCACCAAAACAAGTTTTGAAAAGTAGCCCATAGAATGTGTAATGTGTCTACAGGAGGCCGGCCATGCTGCTTGGCTCACATCTATCACTAATTCATTCTGGGACTTGGCCTTCGGCTTTAGCATGACAGTGGATGAGGGCCCAAGAGGCTATTTTTTCCAGAAGAGGAAGAAGACAATGCCAGGCACCAATGGCTCACGCCTGTAATCCTAGCTGCTCAGGAGGCTGAGAGCTGATGATTGTGGTTCAGAGCCAGCCCAGGCAGGAAAGTCTGTGAGATTCTTATCTCCAGTTAATTACAAACAAAAACAGAAAACAAAAACCTGAAGTGGTGCCGTGCCTCAAAGTGGCAAAGTGCTAGCCTTAAGCAAAATTGCTCAGGGACAGCACTCAGGCCCAGAATTCAAGCCCCACAACTGACCAAAAGAGAGAGAGAGAGAGAGAGAGAGAGAGATGAGTCTGTGCATTGGAGGAAGCGGGCTGAATGGAGCAAAGGACTTGGCATCCATCACAAATGAAGGTGGAGAGTCAGGGCTCTGCATCCAGTCAGACCCACATTCTGTTCTTCAGCATGGCCACGCTGTGTGACCTTGGAGGGGTGTTGCCCCCTCTCTGGGAATCTCAATCCCCTCACTGTAGTAACAGAATGGCTGGCTGTGCCTGGGTCCTGGAGCTTTGAGGATTAAGTGTGATTGTGCCCGTTCTGTACGGGTCTGCTAGGTGCTTCCAGCTGTTGACGTGATTGCCTTCTGGCGTCATGCCCTGGGCTTGCCATTCTCCATTTGTGGTTTGGGGCTGACCTGGAAGGAAGCTCCCTCTGTGGCACCTGACTTGACGGTGGTCCTAGCCACAGAGCCTAGGGGCTGTGACTCCCCGCTCCTCTGTGGGGCTGCAGAGAGAATGGTAGAATGGAGACTTACACCTGGGAAGACTGGTCTCACCTCCTCCCTCCTGCAGCCCACGGGGGGAGGGGGGAATCCCAGTTTCTAGGAGAGGAACTATTCTAACTCCTTCCTCCACTAGCCCCAAGGGTAGAGCTGGCTTCTGCTGCCCCTCCCACTCCCCCCCACCTCCAGGGCTGCCCCCCCCCCCCAGCAGGAGGACTGAAGGAGCTTTGTTTTTGTAGGAGGAGCATCATGGAAGGTGACTGCCTGAGCTGCATTAAGTATCTGATGTTCGTTTTCAATTTCTTCATATTTGTAAGTGTTCCTGGCTCTCTCCGGCCTTCACCGTGGCAGAGCTATCCCCAGAGTGAGATTTGGTGGGGCCGGGGGCGGGGGGGGGCAGGAGGGGCAGAAACACCTGCCTGGCAGACTTTCCCAGAGGAGTCCCTGCATGCCCACCCCACTCCCCCATCAGTAGAGGTTTCCTACAGACGCTGGTCAGGGCCAGGCTGGGGGCTTGGGGCTGGCCCGTGGGCAGCGGGGAAAAGAGGAGGGGAGGAGGAGAAGGAACCCCTCCAGGCTCATCCCAGGCTGCAGGGCTGAGCCCGGTGGGCACTGAGGGCTGGAGCTTCTCTGGAAAGAGTCCTCTCAAAACCCAGAGGGAGGCAGGTGCCGGTGGCTCACACCCATAATCCTAGCTACTCCGGAGGCTGCGATCTGAAGATCATGGTTCAAAGGCAGCTGTGGCTCAAGTGGTAGAGCTCCAGCCTTGAGCAAAAAATAAATAAATAAAGCTCAGGCCCCAAGTTGCAGCCCCAGACCCAAGCTGTTGCCTTGTGCCCAGCTCTGCAGGTCTGAGTGCCCCAGCCAGGCAGGAGCAGCTTCTAACCTCCCTGTGTCGTCTCCTCCTCCTCCTCCTCCTCCTCCTCCTCCTCCTCCTCCTCCTCCTCCTCCTCCTCCTCCTCCCTCCTGCTCCTCCTGCTCCTCCTCCTCCTCCTGTTCCTCCTCCTCCTCCTCCTCCTCTTCCTCTCCTCCTCTTCTCCTCCTCCTCTCCTCCTCCTCCTCCTCCTCCTCCTCCTCACAGCTGGGGGGCGCCTGCCTGCTGGGCGTGGGCATCTGGGTCCTGGTGGACCCCACCGGCTTCCGGGAGATCGTGGCCGCCAACCCTCTGCTCATCACGGGCGCCTACGTCCTGCTGGCCATGGGTGGCCTGCTCTTCCTGCTGGGCTTCCTGGGCTGCTGCGGTGCCGCCAGGGAGAACAAGTGTCTGCTGCTGTTTGTGAGTCCTGGTCCCCACCCTGCGGGAGGCTGGGGTGGGAGTGGGGGTGCGGGCCCCCGGGCCAGGTCCCACCTCCACCCTGACGCCCACAGCCCTTCCCAGCTGGACCATGTTGGCACCGGTGTCTGCGTCCAGCCCTGGTACCTCGACCCTCGTGGCTGTTGGTCTGGAGGCCCTGACGTGTCCAGAGACTAGGGAGGACATCTCAGGTGCGCTGAGCTCCCCACAGGCTCCCCACGGGCCTCTGGGGACCAGCTGCTGCTTTGTTTCAGACAGGGTGTTCCCAGGTAGCTCAGGCCAGCCTCCGCCCTTCCATCCCAAGCTTCCAGATCACAGGCCTGTGCTCCATGCCTGGTGCTGGGAGCTCACTTTCCTCCAGACTTCATTCTTTCCCTCCTTCCTTTCCTCCCTCCATTCTTTCCTCTCCCTCCTTTTCTTCCTGTCTTCCTCCTTCCTTCTCCCTCTTTCTCCCCTCCCTCTCCCTCTAATCTCTCTCCGCCCTCTTTTTCTCTCTTCCTCTCTTTCTTCCTTTCTCCCTCCTCTCCTCTCCTCTCTTCTCCTCTCCTCTCTCCTTTCCTCCCTTCTCTTTCTCCCTCCCTCCTTCCCTCCCTCCCTCCATCCCACCTTCTCTCCCTTCCTCTCTTCCACTGGTTTTCACTGCCACCCTAAGAGGTCCAAGCCCTGGACCAGAACCTGTCCAGCCTATGTTCCCGCTCAGAGGTGCATTCACCCTGAGCTTTGGACCAATGAGCCTTTCTCTGGCGCTTGCTACTTGCCTTTGTACTTGGCCTCTGCCTACAGTTGGAATGAGCACCGCCATCCCAACCTTGGCCCCAGACCAAATGCGAACACTGATATTCACCATGATGTTTTTTTCTTGTTTTCCTACAAAAACCCTAATGTATGCCTCCTTAGTCACACAGCTAAGATCACCGCCTTCAGACATATTTGTTTCTTTTTCTTTTTTCTTTGGCAATGTCAGAATTTGAAGTCCTCCATTTGTCCAGCCAGTGCTCTACTACTTGAGCCATGCCTCTAGCCCAGCTTTTTCTGGTTAATTTGGAGATGGAGTCCTAAGGACTTTTCTGCCTTGGCTGACCTCCAATCATGAGCCTCCAGCACCCAGCCTCACACCTACTATGCACAAGGCCCCAATCTGGGGAGGTCACGGCTGAAGGAAGCCTCGTGCCTGAGGCTGGCTGGGCTTGCCGGTGCTCCTGGGGTGGGTGACCTTAGGAGGATCAGTACCCGGCCCACCCTGGGAGGCAGACATCCTGCACAGTGTCGCTGGCCACGCCATGAGCCACCACAAGATGCCCAGTAGCCCACAAAAGCACAGAGGGCCAGGGACTGGGCTTCCCAGGTGTGAACTGCACAGATGTCCCACTGGGAGAGACATCCTGAGCGCCCCCTGGTGGGACACCCTCGCCATGGCGGCTCATGCACAGAGTTGTGGAGGTGACACCACAAACCTGCCCAGACACCGCCCTCGCCTGGGACCCCGGGGACTTACCCGCTGCTGGACCCAGCCCTGCAGCCAGCACAGGAAGCCAGCTGTGCCGGCACTGGCACAGCCCAGGCTCTGCGGCCTCCTGAATCTCCAGCTTGGGGCTCGCTGCCAGCTGGACCAGGCCAGCCATGTCTGCTCTGCCCACTGCTTAGCCAGAAGACTAGAGCCAGGACAGGACAGGGTGGTATCTGTCCTGAGAGAGCCAAGGCCCGGCTGCCGCCCGTCCCCACTGTCCTTGTAGCCTCTCTCTGTGCTCTCTGCCCTCTGCTTAGCTGCTTTCCTTCCTTTCTCCCTCCCTCCCTCCCTCCCCTCCCTCCCTCCCTCCCTCCCCTCCCTCCCTCTCTCCCTCCCTCCCTCCCTCCCTCCCTCCCTTCCTCCCCTCCCTCCCTCCCTCCTTCCCTCCCTTACTCCCTTCCCCTCTCTCTTCCTTCCTACCCACCCCATCTTAACCAATAATCCAGGAGTGGCGGTGCATGCCTGTGATCCCAACTACACAGGCCACATTCATCTCATATGTAGGAGGATCAAGGTCTGAGACCGGCATGGACAAAAGTAAAAGATCTTATCTGAAAAATAGCTACAGCATAATAAGGGCTGGAGGCTTGACTCACCATTAAGTCAGCCAGCTTAGCAATCACTATGCCCTGAGTTCAAATTCCAGTACCGTCAACCCCCTCCCCTCCAAAAAAAACCCTGCAACCAAACAACAACAAAAAACGATGACCTAGAAAGCAACCACATTTTTTCCCTCTCCCAACCTGAAGCTGGCTGGGTACTGGGTCCAGCTGGGGGGGGGGGGGGGATGGCGGCAATGAGTGTCACCCCTGTGGCCTCTGAGAGCCTTTGGGAAACTTTGTTCTTTAGCCTGCTAGGAGGAAGGACTGGTCTGGAAGGGCCTGAGACAAGCTGATGTCAGCTGTCCTGGGAGCCAGGTCAGAGACAGACCCAGGGAGCCCTGGAGAGGGGTATCTGGGCCTCCCCTCCTCCGCTCGGAGGATGAGAGCCCACAGGGCCCCGTGACGGTCTGACCAGTAACCGCCAGCCAAGCCCAGCAGATCTGAGAGCACCGCTCAACAGCATGCCCATGGAGGTGCACCACGGCACTGGCAGAGACCACAGGACATTTGCACCTATCATTCAACTTTTATACTAACCCTGTCCCCTTTGGTGACATTATAGTATCCCAGGGAGCCTTTTTAGCAATTTATCTAAAGGTTCCTGATTTCATTTTATTTTATTGCTGGTCTGTGAGGCTTGAACTCAAGGCCTGGGCACTGCCTCTGCTTTTGCACTCAAGGCTAGTGCTCTACCACTTTGAGCCACAAGGCACTTCCAGTTGTCTGGTGGTTTATTGGAGATAAGAGTCTCATGGACTTTCCTGCCTGGGCTGGTTTTGACTGGGATCCTCAGATCTCAGCCTCCTGAGTAGCTAGGATTACAGGCGTGAGCCACCAGTGCCTGGCTTAAGGTTCCTAGTTATTAAAAGACACTTTTTAACAAAGGCATGCAAAACCAGAAAAGAGACTAGCTGGAGGGGGGCGGGGTGTACTTAAAGATAGATAAGCTAAACATGAAGTACAAAATTGGTAAATATTTATTAGAAACAAGAACAGGAAACAGATGGGTTTGCAAAGCCTAGAAAAGCTTACAAGTAGACAAAAGAGCAGTTTCGGTATCTGTTGGGTTTGGGGTTTTTTCTTTTCCCCAGACTAAGAAAAGTGCCATAAATTCAAGGTTCAGGAAACGAGAGGCAGATGTGTCTTTCAGCAGTTAACACCGGGAGGGCCGTGAGGGGCAGCTCCAGGGCAGCCTCTGCCCATGCGTTTCCAGTTCATTCTATCTCCCGGTGTTTGACCTCGACACAGGTGGACCGCTAGGGTAGGCTGTGTCTGCCTGGATGCATACTCACTGGACACCTGCTCGGGAAATAGTCCTAACAGGAAGGAACCAGGATGAGAGGAAGAGGAAGAGCTTGGACATTAGAGTTTTGGGTCTCTTGTCTGTGTGTCCTCAGGCTGGTTACTTAACCTCTCTGAACCTAAGTGTCCTATGGAACATGTGCATCACCACCTCCCCTTCCCTGCCATTCTATGGTGTTCAGGAGAAGACAGTCACCTTGCTGAGTGCCCCTCCTAGCTCGTTTGATACATGGGAAGGAAAGAATCAGAGCTGGCCATCAATAAAGGTGGGGGGCAGAGGGACTGTCCCCCCTGGCTGGTGAGAGGACTCGGGGACCCCGAAGGTACAGTGGCTCCTGCGACCTTTCTACACCTCACCCCCTTGGCTCTCAGCCGCTCCCGCACCCCCACTGTCTTGGGGACGGGGCTGTGCACCGGCATTACCTTGCTGAGGCCCCGCTGTGGACGGGCCCGGGGTCGGAGGCCCCCGGGTGAGCTCCTGGGGCAAGCAGCGTTCTGCAGAGCCTGAGATCACGGGCCTGGGCGTGGAGCAGGGATGCAGAGAGGGCACCCCTGCGCCCTGATTGGGTCCAAGCATTGAGAAGCTGCGCCACGCCTCTACTATCTGTGGCCCAGCATCCCCAGGGCATCTCGAGGCCCAGACGTTTGGAACCCACGCGCGGCCGCTGCCACTGGGGGCTGCACAGCGTCCGCAGGGTGGGGATGAAGACAGAGAGCCTCTGATGGCGGAGACCCTTCTGGGATAGGGTGTGCCGGGGGGGGGGGGGGTGACGGGGGGCGGGGGCAGGGGGGCGGGGGGGGGAGGTTAGGGCACCGAGATCGAGGCCCAGGCCCTGCGCTTGTCACAGCTCACACACACGCTCTGCGGGGACATTCTGACCACATCCAAGCCTGTCCCGGCGAGCTGGGTGGTGACCCCTGCCACCAGCCCCCAGGGTGGGCGGGAGGCCATGTTACCATTTTACCAAAGTGCCAACGGAGGTTCCCAGGGTATCACGTGGTTGTTCTGGGCTCCTGGTGGCACAGAGCTGGCAAGGGGGGGACAGGAGGTGTCCTGACCTCCTAACCAGCCTGGCCCAGCACCAGCCGGCGACTGTCAGGACTCAGGGTGGTCAGCAGGGCAGCTGGGAGGGCATACCCCCCACCCCCCCTTGTAGGCCCTTCTAGACTTCCTGAATGTCAAAGAGGCACCGGGGACACTGAGGGACGAAGACCATTCTCTTCTCCTCTGCTGACAGTCCTGAGCCCCAGACCCGGCCAGAGAGCGGGGCTGGGGTGCTTCCAATAGCCAGGTCATCATGTTGAGTCCTGGGCTCAGCAGGCCTTCCTGGCTAGGGCAGCCGAGTGACAGCATGGTGGTTCATATGGGGAGCAGGGGAAGAGAGGGGCTCTGGGTTCAAGGTCAAGATCACAGACTCTGGATTTGCAGCCTTCGGTAGTCCAATCTGCCTCCTTTTATTTGGGCCGGAGATGGCCCTGTTTCTCGTGGGACCAGAGGCTGGGGGGGGGGGTTGGCCCCAGGGCCACAGAGGGGTCCCAGGCAGTCTCCTTCCAGGGCCGCCACCGCCACCGCGCAGGGTTGTTCAGGCTACACAGCGCACAAGCTGCCTCTCCGTGGGGCACCATTGGTAGGGGAAGCGTACTATTTTTGTCTACTTTGTTTCCTACTTTGTATCACGGTGCCGTTGACTCGGGAGCTCCTTGGCGTGTTGTCTGATTGACAGCAGTGAAACTGCTCTTAGGAAGGGGGCGCCCATCAGCGGTGACAGGCGGCAGGGTGCAGGCTCCGGCCGCCCTCCACCCACCTCAGGGTCTCAGGAGTGCTGCCCCCCACCGCCCCTCTCTCTCCCCGCAGTTCTTCATGTTCATCCTGGTCATCTTCCTGGCGGAGCTCTCCGCAGCCATCCTGGCGTTCATCTTCAGGGAAAACGTACGTACCCACGTGCCCTGGCCACCCTTCAGCGTTGGTGTCCCCCTCCTCAGAGCTGTCTCTCCCCACCAGACGCCAGACGCTCACGCCTGTAATCCTAGCTACGCAGGAGACTGAGATCTGAGGATCATGGTTCAAAGCCAGCCCGGGCAGGATGGACCGTGACAGTCTTTATCTCCAGTTAATCACCAGAAGATGGCGCTGTGGCTCAAAGTGGTCGAGCACTCGCCTTGAGCAAAAAGAGCTCAGGGACAGCACCCAGGCCCTGAGTTCAAGCCCCAGGATTGACGAATACGCTATAGTCAGGAGGCTCTGAGGCTTTCCACCTCTAATTCTGGAACATGACTGGTGATAGCCTGGTAGCGGGGGGGGGGGGGGTCACACTGTCATGTCAGGGAGGCTCAGCGCACCCCACGGTGTCATCACTCTGCCCCGTGGAGGCTCCAGCTCTCGGGCGGGGGTTGGGGGGCGCTGCTCTCCACCCCTGGAGCAGACAGGAACCGGGCGCCTCAGCCAATGGAGCCTGGACACAAGGCAGGAGAGGGATGAGGCTGGCTGGAGCAGCCGGCCGTGGGGCAGGAAGGGGAGGGGCGAAGGCAGGCGGCCTGTGGGGGGACTGGACTTGGCACCCAGGAGTCTCCGCTGTGTCCCACCTGCACCCTGGCTCCTTGCTGGCGTACCAGGGGCCCCTCGGAGGTGGAGGACCCTGCCCAAGTTGACAGCTAGGGAGGATTTAAGGAGCCCTGGCCCCAGGATGGAGGGGGGAGAGGGAGAACACCCAGCCCTGGGCCTCAGTGTCCCCCCCTCTTCTGTCCCCAGCTCACCAGAGAGTTCTTCACCAAAGAGCTCAGCAAGCATTACCAGGGCAATAACGACACCGACGTCTTCTCGGCCACCTGGAACTCAGTCATGATCACAGTGAGTGCCCTCCTCCGTGCACCCCACCCCCATGCAAGGAGTATTCAGAGCCACAATTGCCAGCACAGTACACACTGGACCCAGCCATCCCCACCCCTGCCCTGTGCCAGGCAGCAATCATCAATCACCACGCCCAGACCTGGCCTCCCAGGCAGTCACAGCCAATCGATGGCCATCCCAAGTCTGCCTGGCACGCATCGGGGCTGTCCCTGCCTTGGGTCGTCCAGTGGCAGTCATTGTCATGGAGGATCATCACAGTGACCGTCTGGTGGGTAGCAGTTGTCCCTGCAGCCCCTTCCACAGAAGTCACTGACGCTAAGAGATGCTAAGTGGCTTTCTCACCGTCTCACAGAAGGGCAGGAGAGCAAGCTGCCCGGTCCCGACGCTCTTCTCAGGGAGCCGTGTGTCCTCCGTCCTGGCTCCAGCTCCTGCTCTCTGCTCTCTAGTTTGGCTGCTGCGGGGTCAACGGGCCTGAAGACTTCAAGCTCGCCTCCGTTTTCCGGCTGCTGACTCCAGACAGTGAAGAGGTCCCGGAGGCCTGTTGCCGCAGAGAACCCCAGACTCGGGATGGGGTGATGCTGAGCAGGGAAGACTGCCTGCTAGGGAAGACCCTGTTCATCAACAAGCAGGTACCCGTATGGGGCAGGATGGGGGGGGTGTCTGAGACCCTCAGGAAGTGCTGTGGGGGGCGGGGGGGGGGTCCTGCCCTGAGCTGTGGTCGATGGAGATTCCACTGGAACCACAGATCCAGTTGGGGGCTGGGGAGGAGATTGTTTGTGATGTGGACACTTAGGGTGGGGTTTGAAGGGTGAGTAGGAGTTTTCCAACCTTCTGATAAATGCAGGTCAGGGAGGGGAGGGGCAGAAGCTGCATCTTGCAGTCGGAGGCTCCCCTTAATCATGCAGCCTACTTGGGAGTACCTTACAGCACACACCCCCTCCCCCTAGTCCCAAGAAAGTAAGGTCTTTCTAACCTGCCCTTCTGAGATCAACCAAGTGTCTAGGCTTCTTGTTTTTCTCAAAGCCTGCTGGGTTTTTTTTATCTAAGCCTTGGGAGTCCTGTTCCTTCCACCCCTTGAGGGGAAACAGGATCCTAGCTTTGTCCTCTGCCCAGAGACACTCAGCACCTTGCTCAGAGACACACAGCATCCTTGATCTTGATCCTGTGCCTCCGCACTGGCAGCAGCCTTCCCCTCCAGGTAGAGGCCAGGTAGGGGGAGAGTCAGACAGACAGAAGGCAGGGAGGCAGGCAGGCAGGAAGGAGAGGGAAGAGACCCATCACTACTGAGAACATCTCAGACACATGGTAACACGCGGAGCACAGGAGACCTCTGCTCGTTGGAAGGCTCATGGCCTAGGGAGAGGAGACCATGGAAAGCCAGGGTGAACAAACGTGATCCTCTCACATGACCATGGCCAGCATGACAATCAAGGCAGACCAGGGGCTGGGATGAACCTGGGGCATCGCAGAGCCTCAGGGGAAGTAGCCCTGTGCCCTGTGACCTGGCAGGTCCTTTGAGAGGTTGCCTGGCTCTAGCCACTCGGCACCTGCCCCTTGCACCTGCCTGGGGCTGACCGAGGGCCAAGAGCCACAGTCCCTCTGCCCGCAGGACCCTGCCTGCCATCCTACCTGGGAGAAAGGAACGAAGAGAAAGCACCAGGGCCCTGGGGTCTGGCTCCAGCGGCAGGGGCCACACAAGGGGCAGTCCAGGACTCCACAGCAGGCAGGTCTAGGCTGTCAGCTGCTCTCGCGCCATCACGGAGGACCTCAGCTCCCCCAGCTATACCAGGCCCAGACTGCTGGCTTTCCCCACACCCTAGGCACCCGGGCTGAGCCACGGGATAGAGGCCGTGCCTCCCAGCCAAGCCATGGAACCCTGCCCCTAGCCAAAGGGAGGTGGGCAGATGTGACTCAGACCCGTGAGTCACGTTCTTAAAAGACATTGCCAGCTGGCTGCCAGTGGCTCACATCTGCAATCCTAGCTACTTGCGAGGCTGAGATCTGAGGACAGCAGTTCAAAGCCAGCCCAGGCAAGAAAGTCTGTAAGACTCTTATCTCCAATAACCACCAGGAAACCAGAAGTGGTGCTGCAGTTTAAAGTGGTAGAGTACTGCTAGCCTTGAGAAAAAGAGCTCAGAGACTGCTCAGGCTCTGAGTTCAAGCACCATAATGGGGGGAGGGGGGGAGAGAGAGAGAGAGAGCGTAATTGTGCCCACCTCTGTGACATGGGATCTACGTAGCTGGGACAGTGTCCTCAAAAGGTGGCAAAGAAGAGTCCAGGCCGCTGACACCCTCGGGCCACCAAAGCCCAGGCTCTGCTCGGAGTGCCAGAGCTGTTTCTAACTGGTGTGGGAGCTGCAGCGGGTCAGGGGCTTCCAGTATCTAACAACACTGGCAAACGTCACAGAGGCCTCTCGGGGTCCCGGTCCTTTGGGGTATTTTTTCTGGACTGGCTTCTGTTTCTGGACTCTTCCTCCTGAAGATGCTTCCTGCCCTCCCTCTCTCTCTCTCTCCATGAAGTTGGAGCTTGGCAGAGACCATGCTGGCTCTTTACCACGATGGCTGTTCCTCTGGGACTCCAGTGATGGCATTGCCGACACTCTGCTCCCTACAAGCCTTCCCCTGCTAAAAGCCTCCGGCCTGGGCCCATCTCTACTTGGGTTGGCTCCACAGCTCCCTTCTCTGTGCATTTATAACATGGTCACCTGCCAAGAGGAAGCTGCTGGATGGTCTGGGTCCCCTGTGGCTGGGGTTTGGAAGTGACTTCAGAGGGACATTGATCCTCAGGGAGAAAGGCCAGTGGGTGGCCCCAGGATGCCAGCGCTGGGACCGTGAGGCCCTGGCGTGCAGGAAGCAGGGGTCAGGGGCATCCTGGCGGGGCTGGAGGGCCCTCGTGGGCAGTGAGTGGACTCCTACACCAGATGAGGCCCTCACAGCATCTCTGGCTCCTGGGGAGCCTCTGGAGGTGGCAGTTACTTGCCGCTACAGATGGACCGTGGCTGCAGTAGGCACTAAGCCTAACTGCCCTCTGTCACTGGGAAGGGCAGGACCAGGGGACACTGCCTCCCCACAGAGAAGTAGCGCAGGTGCTGGTGACAGTGGCCGGCTAGGTGGACGCTGGGGCCAGCCCTGGCAGGGGCAGTGCCCGTCTAAGGTAGACAGTGCAGGGCTGTAGACAGCGCCAGGTTCTGAGCAAAGGGCCCTACGGCCAACCTGAAAGAGAACAGGCCTTCTGATGCCTTTCAGTGGGGGGGGAGGGGTGAGAACCAAGGACCCCTCTGCACCCCAGCCCCCTTCCTCTTGTGGGCAGAAGGCCCTCCCTCCTCCCTGGGAGCTGAAGGGAAGCCCTGGGACCCATGCCATGGAGGTCAGTGCTGAGACCAGCCCCAGGCCTCAGACTGCCCGTCCTGGCTGCCGCTTGAGCACGGCCCCTCTCTCCCAGGGCTGCTACACGGTGATCCTCAATGCCTTTGAAACCTACGTCTACCTGGCCGGAGCACTCGCCATTGGGGTTCTGGCGGTGGAGGTGAGTAGAGTCCCAGGAGGATACCTCAAGGGGCCTGTGGCCCCCCAGCCTGCCTCCCTCGCCCCCTTCCTTAGTTCATGAGTGAACACTGGTATCCAGCTGTCCCTGGCACCACAGACCCTGGAAGTGACAAGTCTGAGCCAGTCCTTCCCCACGTGCTTCTAGATCATAGCTGCTTCCCAGGGGAGCATCTGAGCCGCCCCCCCCCCGCCACTCCCCCTTTGCGGATGGTCTCGGAGCTGTGGAAGAAACGAGAGCTGCTGCCCCGGCAGCCCCAGGGCCTCCTGTCCTGTAGGGCCACCTCCACGGGTGCCCTGGGCAGTGGGGCTTCTCATTCATTCTAGAAGCATGTACTGAGCGCCCGCTGTATGCCAGCAGCGCTGTAAGTGAACGGGGATCGGCAGCAGATGTCTTCCCTGGACCCTGGGCAGGCTCAGGAAGACCCCCACACAGAAATGCCCACACAGGATGGGCCCTGCCTGCCCGCACGCATGCGTGCTCTTCACATTTCCTAGGTGGGCACCACGGAGGGCGGGTGGCACACAGGGTACAGCACAGCCCTGTGGCAGGGTGGTACCCTCACACCCTCCCCCTCCCACAATCCCCCGTGCCAGATGAGACCCTCACCCTGGCCAGCGGTGCCACCTCGGCCCCCGGAGCTGTCTGTCTGTGTGGCCATGAACTTGTGATCTGTGTCTGGTCTGTGTCCCTCACGAGACTGGGCCCCAGGAATTGAACCAAACCTATTCCGAGGGGAGCCCCTGATGCAGGGCTCTGCCCCTCTCCACCCCCAGGCCCCAAGACTGGGGGTCAGCAAGTGTGCTCCCTGAGACCTGGGGGTAGTGACAGCTGCCTTGTCCCCTAAGAGTGCTGAGGACACTTCACCAAGCCCCCACCCACCCACCCCCGAGACACTAGAGGGTGGGTGCTTAGGCTGGGGGTGGTGGGAGGCAGTGTGCTCAGACTCCAGCCCTGCTTCCCTATTGTAGCTGTGTGACTGAGGCAGGTTAGTCTGCCTCTCTGTGCACTACCTCCCAGTCCTAGAGAAGGTTTCCAAGCCAGCACTTAGAAGTATGCCTGCCATATGGCACTGTCTTGCTCCACTCGAGCCCAGAGAGGGACACAGCACTTTGCCCAAAGTCACCATGGTAAACGGTGATGGGGCTGGAACCCAAGATTTCCCTTCCAAAGTCTCCTGCCCCTCTTCCAAGAGAAGCTGGCCCAGGGGACGGCAGCATCCCTGCAGGAGGAATGACCCCTCATGCCCCTCCCCCAGAGTGGGCTGGACAGCCCCTAAGGGTGTGGGCCCAGCCCTCTCCCCCTCTCTCTCTCCTTTCTCTGCAGCTGTTTGTCATGATCTTTGCCATGTGTCTCTTCCGCGGCATCCAGTAGAGGGCGTGGCCTGAACCTCACCCCGCCCACCACTGCCCAGCACCCGGTGCCCCTCCTCTCTCCATCCACTTGGCTCTGGAGAGGAGGCAGGCCAGCATGGACATCCAGGAGAAGGACCGGGGACACAGAGCTATTTTTTTAACAAGATGACATGAAGACAGTAATGTGAACTGAAGTACCTGGCCTTGACTTGGGGCAGGCACCTGGCGTCCCTGCTGGGGCCTAGCATTGGCTTGGAATGCCAGAGACCAAAGGACCCCCCCAGCCCCAGGGCAGTTGGATCACCACAGATTGGGGTATCCCCCGTCCCCTCCCAGCACTTCAGGACCAAGATGGCAAAGATGTAAGCAACAGAGACACAAGAGACTCCACCCAGAAGCTGCCTCCATTTCCTTGATGACGCAGGACCGGAGGCGCAGTGTCTGCTCTGCTAGAGGATGGAGAGGCCCTGCTTCCAGAGGGGGACCGAGGGAGCTGCGTGTGGTGGACGCCGGATCCTAGAGCGGGGCAGTGGCTCGTTCATCGCCACCGTGCACCTGTGTGCCCATTCCCATATGAATCTGGGTCATCTTCAGGTTGTTGCCATTCTGTTTGGGGCTCCATCAGATCTGCTGCTCACTTACGGTCTCCTTACGGACACACTGGCTGGGGACTGACCCGCCTCTGTCCCTAAGCCCCACCGCTGTGGACACATCACACTATCTGGTCCTCACTGCCCACCCATCCCCACAGGTCACCCCTTCCTTGTTTTTGTTCAGTTCCCTGGTGCCTAGGGTAGAAGAAACCACCAAGAGGGGCCAGGAGAGCAGACATCCGATTCTCCTCTCCCTACTCAGACCCGAAGCTTGGATGTGTTGAGCATTCTCTTCTCGCATAACCTCCAGGGACTGGGAGCTCACTACCTCCGGAGGCAACCTTCTGCCTTCCGATGCTCTGACCTTAGCATCTCTCAACAGACAGAAGATTCTCCTGTGGCTCTAGGGTTCTGCCTGTGTGGCCCGCTTGCTCCTCCTTCCTGGGGTGCTGAGGTTGTACCTTGACTTCCCCAACAGCCCTTGTCTCCAGGCTGAAGAAGCCTAGGATTTCCCAGACATTTCTGCTGTGACACTTTTCACAGCCCACCTGACATTCCAGTGTGTCCTTCCCTCCCCAGCATAGACAGAGATTCTCCAGACACACACACACACACACACACACACACACACACACACACACACACAACACACACACAAGACCAGGTTGCCAAACAGCTTGCAAGATAACCTGACCCTGGACCCTACTAGGGCTCTGCTATGGTTGCCTGGTTTGGTTCAAAGTTGATAGGATATGATTAGTGATGTCTGTCAGAAGCCTGAGTTTGACTAGTAATGTCTGCCATGACACAGGATGGATAGAAACATGGTGTCTCTGCTCTCCTGTCTCTCCTAGGAAGAGCCTGTTGTGTCTTAAAAGCCTCTAATAGCCTCCCTGCCTCCTGAGAGAGATGGAGCTGCTGCTTTGGAACCCAGAGCTCCTTGCTTCTGTCCCCTGTCCCTTCTGAGATGCAGCCAGCTCTGTGGCTGCTGTCCAGGGTCCTACGGACCCTCCTTCCTCCTCCCTTCCTGCCATCCCCATTAGTCCTGGCCTCTTCTCAGACATCTGAGCTCCATCCTCCCACCCTGGCTGTGTGTCAGCCTGCCCTGACATCTCCATAAGTGATACCAGGAACTCACTGGAGGCTGTTTTCAGGATCCAGGGGACCTCTAACTACAACCCCCCCCCCCCAGCCCAGCCTCTGAAACAGGGCCTCTCTCTGGACCCCTCCACTCCGTGTCCCATGGAGAGACTAATGGCTGGTTAAACCGATCAGATCAACCCAAATCCCTTTACCAGGCTGGGTAAGGCTGAATCCAACCACAGGGCCTGGGGCACCCCAGCCTTCTGGGGCCTGTGACAGGTATGGAGCGGGGTGGGGTTCCTGAGGGGAGAAAGGAGCCAAGGTAGGTTAGATAGGAGTGGCTCACCTCAAGGGCTCTCTCCCTAACAGTGCCAAGTGTGCCCAGCCAGGCCAGAAGGCACAGCAGAAGGCATCTGCTTGCTCTGACATTAGCCAGCTGATCTCAGGCTGTCAGATGGGGGGGGGAAATCCCTTCTCCCCGGGGTCCCACACCTGAGACTTCAAATGGGCCTCGCCGGCAGCTCCTGCCTGTGCTAGAGCGGAAGCCTCGGCCTCTGGAAGGGCGGAGTCCTGCGGGCTGGGCCGGGCCCGCCCCGCTGATGAGGGTCCAGCCCTGTGGCTCCGGCCCCCGTCCCACCGCCCCCCACCCTGTGCTCTGTGCAAAGTCTATTTTGCCGTGTGTAGACACCCTGTCGTAGAGCGGAGCTAGTGTAGCCTGCCGGCCCCTTTTTATACCGTGTACCCAGAGAAGTTTTGTAACGCAAGACAGGACTCCTGCACGATGGTTTTGCACTGGTTTTTATGACTGTTTCTTACAAAAAGAAAAAGGAACGAGGAATAAATAGAGTGACCGTGAACAAAGGTGGCCTTGCTTTGTGGGTGGAGCTGAGCCAAGGTGGAAGAGGGCACGAGGGGCTTTGTGGAGGGGTACCCGGGGCTCCCCCAACTCCTGTGCCTTCCCTAACTGACCCCCACAAGCTGCACATCTGTCTGCCAAACTCCATCTGACCCTGTCCCACCAGGACAGCTCCGTCCCGGAGTAGCCTGGCCACCCAGCTGAGGCCAGGCTCTACCCCATCACACTGAGTGGCTTGGCCTGCACTGCCTGGTGCCAAGGCCCAGCTGCAGCTCTCCGCCTCCTGCCTGACCCCCGGGGAGTGCGCCGCATGCCCAGCTAGGGGAGGACAAGGCACTGCCCCCTGCCTAGGAGCAGCCAGTGGTGACAGGCAGACATGGCTGGGGTGGGGATACAGGCATCCCTCCCCAGTGCCATCACGAATGGGCTTGGCCTGCCCGGGGCACAGGGGCAAGAGCCGGATGGCAGCAAAAAGCAGGTTTTCCTTCACAGTGCGGGTCCCTTGTGCTTGGCAGGGAGTGGCTAGCCTGACCTGTGCGCTGCCTCACATGCCTGATACCACACTATTCCTCTCCGGTGCTGCAAGGGAGGAGGTGCCGAGGGTGAGTCTTGCACACCAGCTGGTGGCCTGCAAGTCGGGCCTGGGAGCCTTAGCTCCGAGCTCACTGCCAGCCTCTGTGTGTCCCTGGGACAGGGGAGTGACCGGAGGGGACTGGTCCCAACTACTTCTGTTTACTTCCCCTGCACAAAGCCTACCCAAGAGGCAGTGGGGCAGCCTAGGGAGTCCAGAGACTAGTCTCCCCCTGAGGAAGGAGGGCAGGAAGGGCTGAAAGCCTTGGAGGACATGCTGGGGAGGGGGAGTGGGCAAAGGGACAGCCATTGCTCCCCCCCTGCTCCCCTCTGAGTCCCCCACCCCAACACAGCTTCCCGCTGGGGCTCTCCACATCCACGTGCCAGGGGCCAGGTTAGGGAAGGGTCAAAGGCCTAAGTGGGGAGCAGCCCGCCCCCAGCAGGGTGCCCCACAGCCAGGGCCCTGGAGAGCACAGGCATGCAGGCAATGGGTGGTAATCCTCACAGGAAGGCCAAAGGAGGCTCAGGCTCCAAAACATGGCCTCTGCCTGCCTGTCAGCCCTCAGTGGCTACAGGAAGGGGCGTGTGTGCATGTGCGTGTGTGTGTGTGTGCGTGTGTGTGTGTGTGTGTGTGTCTGTCGCACGCACATGCGTGGGGTGCAGAGGGCCCCTGGCTGGGGCACAAGGTCAGATTCTCAGACTTCTGGCTTGGAAAGAAGCCAAGATCAGCCATTCCGGCTCCAGGCTGGCTGGGGGCAGGGGGCTCGGGAGCTCTCTGTCCAGCGGGCTTCCTGGCAGAGGAGGCCTGGGCCTCGGCTCAGCCCACCCCGAGGACACTGCTAGCCACTCAGAGAGAGGCTTTCAGGGGGTATGGAGGCCCAGAGAGCCCAGCAAATGGGGGCCGGGATCCTGCACAGGACAAAGAATGGGGTGCAGCCACCTGTCTCCAAACCAGCAGAAAGAGGGAGGCCCACCTGACTGAGGCTGGCTGGGGGCAGAGCCTCTGACCTTTCAGGAAGCCAAAGGAGGCCAAAGGCCCTGGAGCCTCCCTGGCCGGGCCGCAGGCAGGTCCCCGCCCTGCTAGACTTTCTTGGGTTTCCGGCCCACTTGGTAATAGTAGTAAATGCTGACTGCGACGAAAACGAGGCGGCTGGCCAGAAGCAGCAGGGTTCCCAAAGTCATGAGGCCTGTCTCAGCTACCGTGGCAGTGACCACTGTGGAGGAAGGTAGGGGGGGGGGGGAAATGGAGGTCAGAGATGGGATGTGCCCTTGTCCCCACCCCTTACCCACAGGAAGCTCCCACTGCTGAGCCCCAGACGCCCCTGCCCATCCTCCCGACAACCCGCTCTGTTGTAGCCCCCACCCCATAGCAGGTGCGGGCAGAGCAGGGGACACCAGAGGGAGTGCTGCCACCCAGGGGGCTGCACGGTCAAGGGATGGGTGAGGCAGGGACAGCTGCACTCAGGTGTGCGAGCACACAGGTACACGTGAGCGGCTCCGTCTCCTCCTGCTAGCTCCCCACTGGAAGATCTGCACTACTCCCTGTGAACCCCAGGACCTGCGGGGAATGGGGGCCAAAGCCCCACCCGATATCACCTCAGGACTCACCCAGGAATTGCACCCCAAAGTAGCAAGCCTCTGTGAGCAGCGTCCACCGAATGATGACCTTCTCGGCTGTGTAGAGTGCATTCCACATGATCAGGGAGATGCCTGGTGGGGTGGGCACGGAGAGCCGGGGGTCAGAGATCCGGGAGGGGGACAGGCTGAGCACCAGTCCCAGGGCAGTGGCTAGACCTGCTCCTCCCTTTACTGCTCAGGTCAAAAGGTATTTGCCCCATCCTGCTCTTCAGCCTACCCTTCCATGTCTGTTGACTCAAGACCCCAGCTATGTGGCCAGATATTCCATCTGTCTAATTCCATAGTTGGAGCTCTCCCACCACAGCCCAAAGGCAGTGCCAAGCCCCACTGTCACCCCTGCCTTTGTCAGAAGTGTCTGAGCTACCACTGAAGATTGTTGGATAGAAGTACAAGAGCACCAGATTGGATAAATTGTTTGTGCAAAGACCCAGGGGGCCTTCTGAACCTAGGGGCTGGGCTGCTGACCAGGGCCCATTATGGATGCGGGGTGATGGATCTGCTCCACTGAGAACTTTAGGTGCTAAGCAGAGGTGGTAGGGCTTACATCCACAGGAAAAAGGGTGCCATAGAATGGTTTAGAGAAGAGGAGGGTTATTACGGATGTTGAACTTTAAAATCTATAAGTCAATTTCCTAACCACCACTGTTCTACTCAGATTAGAAAGAAGTGGTTCAAATGCTCTAGGGATAAAGATGGGAGGGGGTTCAGCAGACCCTACATGGAGTCTGCTTCCTTCTCTAGATCTGGACTCATTCACCACTGTACCCCAATGCCCAGAGCAGAACACTAACCCACAGCAATAAACACTCATCCCAGACTGTTAAGCAAGATTCCCATCCCGCGGAGGACATGCCACTGGTGGCCACAAGGTGGCAGCACAGACCGACAGACACCAGAGGAAAGAGGCTAGGGAAGGAAGGAGATCCCAGTCCTGGGGGAAGGGCCAGTCGCCGCCCCCCACCCCACCCCCACCCCCTCTTAACCAGCAGTCCACCAGCAATACTCACTGAGGAGCGCGCCGCCGTAGAGACGGATGGGGGTCTTGCTGGTGATTTCAGCTCCGTCAAAGATGGCATCATAGAGCTGATCAGGGAAGGCCAGGGCCTGTGGCAGCAGTAAGAGGGGCTCAGAGCTGAGGCTCTGGAAACTCTCTTCCCCCAGGGACAGGCAAGGGGCAGCCAGGCCTCGGCCTCTGCACCAGGACTTAAGTCTCTGGGGCTCCCGGGGCGCAGGATGCTAGGGGCCCAGCAGAGGAGGGGCCCCACAGAGTAGTGGGAGGAGAGAGTGGGGGGGCACACACTCAGGTCAGGGTCTAGTTGTGAGTTCTGATCCCACCCCCACCCAAGGCCAGCTCCCAGGAGACTCACCATGACGGCGATCCCGGAGAAGAGTGCAGCGGAGAGGAACTGCCAGACCCTACGAGAGGCAAAGGAGTCTCAGGGCAGCCCTCACAGCCAGTCCTGGCGGGGGGGGGGGGGGAGGCTGGACTTGGGGGACAGAGTGATGAAGTGGGGTACAAACCAGGACAAGGCCAGGTGAGGTCAGGACTCACACATTTCCCACCACAACTCCACACCCCACAAGTAGACTGGGTCAGTCCGTGCTCACCTGAGCCCCAGAGGCTCCCGGACAGCAAACTTGATCTCATTTCCCAAGACCTGGCTGATCTGTGGACACAGGGGTCAGTAGTAACCAGGTGGAGCTCCCACTACACCAGCCCCCCCCCTCCTGCCCCCCATACTGAGCAGAAGGCATCTCTCTGGCTGGGAGGACCCCACGGAGAGAATCTCTCTCCCATCTCCTCGTGGCACAGGGTTCCAGAGCAGCCAATAATACGGTAGCTATTAGCTTGTGGCCTGGTTCTGCTAGCTACGACTGTGCAACCTCCAGGCACTGCCTTAACCTCTCTTGTTTCCTCATCTGCCAAATGGGTTTGTAGTGGAAGCCACCACTCCCAGGGCTGGCACCATTAGCCCGGTGCTCGTAAGGCAGCTGGTATAACACCTGCCACATAAGCTGTCAGCTCCTTGGAACGGACTGCCACTGCCGTCTCCAGTGAGTTTCTAGAAAAATGATGAGCCCTAGGGCCCCTACATGCTGAGCCTCAGCTGCTTGTCCCCTCAAATGGCAGATCTCCTCCTGCCCCAAGAGGGGCTCCAGGAGGGCCCCCCGCACCCCTACCTTTGAACGATGCACCTCTCCATCGTCGTCCTCCCCGCCCACACCCAGGATCTTCCTGGTCTTCAGGCGGCTCACCAGGTCCGTCTGGCTGTGTTTCTTCATGAGGGGCGGGGGCTGCTTGGCGGCCATGGTGCCCTTGAGCCCGGCCTCTCCTCTGCAGAAGGGTTTGGGGAGGGTGACCCTAGCCTCAGCCACTGCTTCAGCCTGGCTTCCAGACCCCAGGGGAATGGTCCCCAGCTAGGGGGAGGCTGGACCGCACCCAGGGCCTGGGGAGCAGGTAGAGTCCCAGCAGGTGGTGCTCCTCAGGCCCCCCTTGCTGGCCAAGTGGACACAGCACGGCCCAAGGGCCAAGGCTGGACAGAGCCTCATAATCAGCCCTGTGGTGGGGCAGGGGTTTTCCAAAGTTCTGGGGCCCAGGACCCACTGATCTGCCTGGATACCCCCATCTCCAGCAAACCCGCTACCTTCCTACCTCCCACTTCAAAGCCAGAAACCCAAAGAGGGGCACCCTGCCCTGGCCATGAGCACCCCAGCCCCCTCTCCTACCCCGATATCTGCCACCCCCAGCAGCACCTGGGGCCAATCCTGAGCACCTACTGTGTGCTGGGTGCTGGAGATGGAAATGTCCTCGGCTGGCACAATCTGCGGGAGAATGCAGCGTGTCAGTGGGTGCAGGGTGGGGCGCCCGGGCCAGCCTGGGTGCCGTGTTCTGCAGATAGGCAAGCAGGTTCCAGGGAATGGCAGAGAACAGCTTGCACAGTATCAGTGTCCCCCACCCCACGGCTCCCTGCCAGCAGCACACCCTCCTCCTCCCCCCCCAGAACCCCAGCATCTCCTTTTCCACACAGCTACTCTCTGGCCAGCTACGAAGACGATCACCATTCACAGATAAGGCTAGAAGCCTCCAGCTGTCCACCAGGAGAACCCTGGCAGATCTCATCCTCCTGGGCCCTACGGGGCCAGCTGAGAAATGTCCCCCGTCACCACAGCTCCCGGTGATTTCACGTAAAATAAAGCACCTACCCAGAGCAAACAAATGCAGCAGCAGCAGCACGCACTAGACACTATGCTGAAAGTGAACTATGCACTTTGGGGGTGGGGTGGGAGGGAAAAACCGGGAGAGAATGAGGGAAGAGGGTGACATCATCAAAAAAGAAATGTACGCACTACCTGACTCAGGCAACCCGTAGCCCCTCCATACATCACCTTTACAACAATAAAAAAATTAAAAGAGGTGGAGAATAATAATAATAAAACACCCCAACAAACCCAGCTCGCAACAGAGCTGCAAAGGGCAGGGTGCAAGGGCCGGGTAGGAAGTGAGCAGTCTGAGGTTGGAAATGTTAAGATTGTGTCAGCATTAGGGAGCTCCAGGGACCGTGGCCTGTGGGCCCCCAGGTCCCCCCCACCCCCCGCCTTACTTCCTCATCTAGATCTGGGTGGCCCTGCTTTTCCTCTCACACACTTAAGGATACAGAAACCACAGAGGCCATCTGCACCCCTAAAAGGAAGCACTCAGCAAGCGCTACTGAGGCGGCGGCCATTTGTGGGAGATGCACATAAGGCCAGGCTCATGCCCCAACTCCTCAGCTGGCTGCCACCTTCTTGTGATGGAATTTCCGGGGGGGCTTCCTCTTGCTGCTCAACCACAAGAGCTCATCCCTGTGGCCGAGTGACACACGTCAATGTCCCCCCTCCTCAGCCTCTTCTCTGGCGCTTCCATTTGAATGCACACAGACTGGCCTTTGTGTACGCTGTGGTGATACGATCTACCCACCATCTCCAGGCCCAGACACAGGCTCGGCCCCTTCCACACTGCACGGCAGTGTGCCTGCCTAGCACGTCCCCCCGCCACCACTCCCGCCAAGCATAGCAGATCTGTTCTCTGTCACTATAGGCTCTGTTTTGGTTTTCTCAGATGTTACATAAACAGATCCACAAAATGGATGACCTTTTAGGCCAGGCTTCTTCCATCTGGAGTAAGGCCTCTGAGATCCAACCAAGCTGCAGGCTTCAACCACAGCCCAACCCTTTCCTTTGTACTGCAGGGCCAGCACAGCTACTACCATTCATGTCCCACTATGGGGAGACCCCACATCCCCACGTCTCTAAGGGGAATGATCCCAGCACAGGACCGCCATGGTGCATCCCCAGGGCCAAAGAGAGCCCATCTACTTTCCAGACTGGCTGGGCTCACGCAGTGCACGAGAGGTCCAGTTCCTCCCTGTCTTCCTCAACACCTGCTAATGTCGGTGAGCCCTCCTCCCCGGCACCCTGCCTTCTCAGGCCTCTTACTAGCCTGGGCATGACTCAGCTGCCAGACTCAGTCCTGAGGGGCCCCTTCCTGGCCCTGTGACCTTGTGCCAGTCTCCTCATCTGTGAAGGGAAACCTGCTAGGGATGTTCTGAGCATACAAGATGCCGTGCCTGCGAAGTTCCACACCAGTGCCCTGCCCTAGGAAATACTTATGTGATCAGACATGGCCACCTTCCCCAAGCCCGCTGGGCAAGACCAGGCCTCCCCCAGACCTCAACACAGACTGCCCATGTCCTCACTCACCCTGGGAGTGAGGACCACTTCCCTCACCCTTGTGCCCTAGGTCCATGCTGACAAGTTGCTGCTGGGGGCGGTCTGTGTGATTGTGAGCAGTGACGGCCGGCCAGGATGAATGCAGGACAGTTCCTCCAGGATCCTGGGCAGTACTGCTCAAGGAGGGCCGTGGGGGGGTGGAGGGGAGGGTGCTCATCCCCAGGCAAGGCCGTAAAGCGCCTAGGGCTGGCAGGACCCACTGTGCCTGTCCCTAGAGCCCAGCCAGCATCACTCCAAAGGCCCTCATGGCCCCGTGGGAGAATGAGATCTTGAATTCAAATCTCCAGGGAGGGGTTGACACCTACTTCCCAGCCAGGCGAACAGTGCTCAACTCTGCATGACTCCCTTCACCATCAGGACTGGGCCCTGCAACACCCAAACCCACCCACCAGCCCCTAAAAAGCCCTTCCTACCCCGAGGGAAGCCATACCTGCATACCTCAGGCCCCCTTTTGGCCTTTATTTCCCTCCAAGGACAGGCCAGCACCCATGGGAAGACCCCGGGATGAATCGTGGCTCGGTCCTTTGACCAGCTGCAGGCTTTGGGCAAGTCACTGCCAGGCTTTCGGCCTTAGTTCCCTCCCCCTATGAGATATAGGAAAACAAGAACTCCCACTTTGCAAAATTGTCACTGGCTAGAGTGAGAGCAAGCACACACGGGGCCTGGGATCCATGTTGTGTCCAGGCCTCACCCAGCCACGCAGAGGAGCGAGAGCTGTCCACTCAGGCCTGCCAGGTTTCCTACCTACCCCACCTGCCTTCTGAGGGTCCCAGGATGTCCTGTGTCAGCCTGCTGGAGGAGAGGGAGAGGAGAGAGGAGAGTCCCATGTGTCCAGCTGCCAAGGAGATGGGACACGGGGTCAACCCCTGTCTTAGCAGCTTGTCCCTCTGCTGTGTGTCATCTAAGCAAGAAGGTCCTTCCTGCCCTGGGTGGCAGCAACTGCTATTGCTCCTCCTCCTCCTCTTCTCTTCCTGCTTCTCTTCCTCTCCCTCTACTCCTTCCTCCTCTTCCTTTTTTTTTCCCCTAGGGTCTGAACTTCAGGCCTGGGCATTATCTCCTGAGCCTCTTGGAGCTCTACCACTTGAGTCGCAGTGCTACTTCCAGCTTTTTCTGGGTAGTTTATTAGTCTCATGGACTTTCCTATCCAGCTGGCTTTGAACTCCAGGCCTCAGATCTCAGCCTCCTGAGTAACTAGGTTTACAGGTTCGAGCCATCAGCACCTAGTTCTTCCACCTCCTCATCTTCTTCTTCTCCTTCTCTTCTTCCTCCTGTTCTTTTTCCTCTTTGTTCTCCTCTTTCCCTCTCCTCCTTCTCTTCCTCTTCCTCCTGTGGCCACCCCCACGTCCCCTCAGCTGTGTTCCTGGTCAGTTGAGCTCAACTCCCAAGACGGAACATTCTGAAGACCCTGAGGCTCACTGGTCTTTCGGTCAGCACAGGTCAGGGGAGTGAGTGGTAGCCAACAGGTCACTCAGCTTCCCCCAGGGCTCCAGCCACACCTGACTTGCAGAAGCCGGCCACCCGGTGGTCAGGCCAGGCATGCAGGTCCACACGTGGATCCCAGAAAGCAGGAGGCTGAGGCAGGAGGATGGAGCTTGTCAGTTTCAGGCCAGCCGGGCTACACAGTGAGACCCTGTCTCCATAAACCAAAACAACAAAAGCTTAAGACTAGCAGCCCAGGGCAGGAAAGGGGACTCTGCCACGTTCCAATGTGACCAGTCCCTAAAGGGCAACTGATCTTGAACCACAGCGGCCCACAGGACAATGGGGCTGTGCAGAGCCTTACTTGGGGGTGCTGAAGGCCACAATGGTTACCAGACAGAGCAACACAGAGCCTCCGGGGGCCGGGAGTCGGGGGAGACTGACAGACTGGGTCTGAGGGAACATCCTTCAAGATGAGGGACACTGGGCCTCAATGCCCAACTCTTTCTGTTAACTGCTGTGTAGCCTTTGGGAAATGACTTAAACACTCTTGAATCTCGAAGTCCTTATCTGGAAACCCAGACTGCTGCTTCTAGTCCACTCATGGGTTGGGATGGGGAACAGTACTGGTATGCGTTCCAGAAAATAGAGTGGTTAATAATATGATTGCCGGGCGCCTGTCCAGGCTCAGCCCTGGGCAGCAGATCTGATGGGACCAGGCCACCATTCCCACGCATGTCCTGGGTGGAGGACTTCCCTGACTCCCCTCTCCTTCCCTGGAAGCCTGGTTTCCATAGCAACACATGGACTGCAGAGCTGCCCGGACAGGGAGGCTGTGTCCAGGAGGGCTGGCTTAGGGGACCTCCAGACCCACGGAGGAGGAAGGGACCCAGAAGCACACAGCTGCTCAGCCTCCATGACTCAGGGGAAGTCACTGCTGCTGCTCTCACAGCCCAGCCAAGACCACTTCCGTCCCAAACCCATTGCTTACCGACAGGCCCTGTCCCTTCCCTGGAGGAGGGAGCTGCGCCCTCCACCTCCCCCCCCCCCCCCCCGCTATGCACACACCATGTCTGCCCAGGGCTGCAGGACACGGCCAGCACATCCAGACCAGAAAACCTCTGAAACTTCCACTGTCACCCAGGAGGACAGCGCTGCACCCCATCATACAGATGAGAAAACATGGCTTATTCAAATATCCCTTGGGGTATGTGGCAGTGCTGGAATTCAATTTAACTGCATGCTGTGATTTAATGAGGTGTCCAGAGAGAAGCTGCCGTGTGTATGGGTGCATGTGTGCACATGTGTGTGCACGCATGCAGAAATGTTCATTGTTCTCCTGTGCCCAGATGCATATGTGCATGCAGGTGCATTATGCATTTGTATTATGCCTGAGTGTACATAAGTGTGCATGTATGTGTGTGCATATGTGTATGCATGTGCACATGCCTTATGCATGGTGTGCACGTGTGTACAAGCATGTATGTATGTGCACATGTGTGTGGTGGGGGAGAGATGTTTTGTGAGCTTGATGCCTAAGCTGAACTGGGCTCCGAGCGATCTTCCCAGGGCCCCTGTGCTTGGGAGTCCCCTGCATCTGGTCTGGCCTCCTTGGCTATGGGCCCTGTGCACGCGCACAAAGCTCTGAGTTCCATTGTTCTGTTATCACACTGGTGCAAAATAGCTGGAAGTGGGGTCTTGGGCTGGCAGCAGTGAGAGGCACAGTGGGTGGGAGGGAAAAGAGGGAAGGACAGAAGGGGGAGAGGGGTCCAGAACCTGCATCATCTGTGAGTCCTCCGGGACATCCCGGCAGCCCTCAGGACAAGCTGGGGTGCAAAATCCCAGCACAGCGCCCATTGGAGGCCCACACTCAGGGTCCTCTGTGTCTCCCTGGGGTGGGCACTGTGCTCATGTCCATCATGAGCATGTCCAGGCCTGGGGGGGTGCTTCTCTACTCCCTGTAAATGCCTCCTGACTTACAAGGCTGTGGGAGTTAGAGTCCAAAGAGAAGATGCAGAGGCAGAGAAACCCACGCGCTCAACACTGACACTCGCACAGCACAGCGGCCTCTGGGGTGCTGGGTCTCACGATGGGGGTGGGGGGCACACTACGGAGATGAGGCTCCAGTGGTGGGAGCGCAGGGCTGGCAGCCTGGCCTGGGGCCCAGGGGGTGGAGCCTGCCATCGCCCGCCTGCCTTTGTCTGCCCACTCCCAGTAAGTACACAGGCAGATGATGAAAATCCCGCCCGCTGTCACGCAACAAAGCTTGGGGTCAAGAACCCTCCAGGATCTGGACCCTGGGAGCTGGGGCACAGGCTTTGCCGTGGTGCTGGGAAGTGTCCCTGAGACACTGGAATCCACAGCAAGACAGCTGAAGTCTGGCCATCACAAGCCTGGACCTGCCGGCAGGTTGCAGTTCCCCAGGCTGCATGGGGGAGCGCGTGGTCCCTGGGGTTTGCCCACCTCTGCCAGTCACATGCCAGTCACATCAGGCCCAGATCAAGTGCCCCACCCCCCACCCCACCCCTCCTCTTCACTTCCCGCTGAACCTGCCAGAGGGCCAGAGCAGCACAGGGAAGCCCCAACTTTCATCACAAACGTCTCCAAAGCTTCAGGGACAAAAATAACCCATCCCTGCTGTGCTGGCCAGGCTGGGGTGGGCAGGGAGAGTGGGATGGGGGCGGGAGGGGGGGAAAGGGGAAGGGGGGAAAGCCTGCTGCTGTGTCAGCACTCAGCAGTCACTGAAAGGGCCCTTCCTGTCCGGGCTGTCACTGGCAAAGGGCAGGGCGCATGGAGAATTCCTGTCCTTTTCAACCCAGAGCAGCCCGGCTTCCCCCCTGGGCGCAGTGACCACGTCAGTGCCCCTAAGGGCAGCTGATGCGGTCATCCACGGGAGAGCCTGCTCCCTGCCTCCCTGGGGCCGGGACTCCAGTGAGAATGCTGTGGCAGCCCCACCCCCCAGCACCTACCTCTCCCCTAGCCAGGGCTGCTGGGGGAACTTGGCAGGGGGTAGGGGAAAACCTCCACCTCTACCTGCACGAGCCAATGTTTCAGAAGAAGCTGTGTCCTGTCTTGTGGGTGAGATGGGAAGGCTACACCCAGGGCCTATGTCTTCCCCAGAGTTGGGGATAGCTAGACAGCACCCTAATCCAGAGATGATTCTCCCCTCACCCCACCTGCTATGTCTGGGCTCTAGCCTGGGGATTAAAGGGGTCCCACCTGGCAAAAGCCCCATGCTCACATCCTGGCCCTGAGGCCTGACTTTGGAGCCTTTCTGGGCCTCGGTTTCTAAATCTTTAAAATAGGCATTAAAAAAAAAAAAATGACACCTACCTCTGGCTGGTGAGAAGATGCCACACTCAGCTGAAACAGCACTGTGCTGTTGTTCTTTCCAAATCAAGAGACTTGCTTTCTCTGCCTCAGTTTCCCCCTGGACCAGACCAACTCCAGAGCAGGACCCCTTCCCAGGGGATTCAATGCCAGTATGAAAAAGGAGTGCTCTGAAGGGGGTGACCATTTGGAAAGAAGTGGGGTGACACTTCTGGGTCAGAAGAGAGCTGGGGGTCACTGTGAGTTAGAAACAGGATGTAGCTTTGGCTCTCCTGATCTGGCTGGGACAGGACTCTCAGCCTGGACACTTCTTCCATTGTCCCCCAGGCCTGGCCTCGGGAGGGGTCGACTGGACCAGCAGCTGGGATTCAGGTCCATACTCCACCCTAGCTGCACATTCTAGCCTCAGGCCCTTTGCACAAGCTGCCCTCAGCAGGATCAGGCAGGTAGGCTTCCCAGGCCACAAAAAGGCAACCTGATCTTTGGGCACTCCACATCTCGCCCCTCCCCCCCCCATCCCTTGTCCCTGGCATTCTATATAACTTGTTTACTTCTTAGTGGCTTCCACCTTCCTTACATGACATCTCCAAGAGAATAATAAGAGTCCTTACTTTGTCACAGCTGTCTCCCAGGCGCCTGGACCTGGATCTAGCCTGGCCCTTTGTTCTATCTATCATTTGGGGCGTAGCACTCACAGAACCTTTTGTGCCATAAACCAAAGTAAAGAGCAGCCCAAGACTACTGCCCCCACCCCTACTCTTAACATTTCCTTCTGCATGAATGGGGGCTCTTCCAGCAGAGGGGCGATGCCTTAAGGACCTGCCCTGCATAACATGGGAAGTGGTCCTGGGGAAGGGCTAGGCAGCCAACAAACCAGATTGGGGGAACGTAGTTGGACAGCCAATCCCAGTTGGGAAATCCTGACAAAGCAGACAGCTTGTGAGCAGGAGAGGAGATCACTAGTCGCTGATCCTCCACCCCCACCCCCACCCCCGGGGCCCTTGGGGACAGCGAGGGACGGACAGACCGTGCACCATACAGACCACAACCGAGCAAGCAAGCAATAATAGAAGCCAACGCTTTCCTCCCAGGCGGAGTCCCGCGGCGGGCTGAGGCTAGGGAGTGGACAGCGCCCCCTCCTGTTTCTCCAACAAAGACACCCCGATCCTAGGACGGGCGAGCCGCAGGTCCAGCCCCCCTCCACGGTCCGGCCGCGGTGGGTGGGGTGGAGGCCCAGGGGGGGCTGCGTGGTCGGCCTGGGCGCGCATGGTGGCCCCGAGCCCTTCGGCCGTGGGGGGAGGGGGGGTCTAGAAAAGTTTGTCTACAAAGAAACCAAGCCGGAAGTGCGAGTGGTCGCGGGGCGTGGGGCTGTGGCCCAGCCTTGGGTGTGTGTGGGGGGGGGTGGATTCCCCCTCACTCCACCCCCACCTCGGAGCGCAACGGGGAGGCGACGCCTGGCCAGGCTGCCGCGGACCGGGACGACCTCTCCCCATCCCGAGCACTCCCCCTCCCTCCCCGAGACCCAACCATTCTCCGGTCCCGGGGGCGCACCGGAGATGTGCGCGCCGTCCCGGCCTTTCTCTACGGACACCCCCCGCCCCCCAGCGCCCTCTTCATATTTTTGTGCGTAGCTCGGAGGCCCAGCCCACCCTGCGCCGGGCCAACCCCCGCCCCCATGTCCTGATGCCCCGGACTTCACGCCTGGGGGGGGAGGGGAGAGGCATTCTCTGTCCACCTGCGCCCCACCCCCCCCCCCCGAGCTGGGGTTTGGCTTGGCCCCGCTCCTCAGGGCATAAGGGGGTTTTCCGCTCAGCCTCGCTCTCCCCTCTCCCCGCCACGATCGGTGCCTAATCTATGGGGGTTCAAACATTCCGCCACTTTGGGGAGGCCTGGGCTGGGCAGCGGCGCGCCCCGGGGGTCCCCAGCTCCCGCCCCCCCCCCCCCGTCCCCTCCTCCGAGGTCGGGCCAGACTGGAGAGTAGCGCGAACTCCACCATCACCTGCCCGCGCGCGCGCGGGGACGGGAACTCGCAAGTTTGCCCCGCGTACTCCGGGACCCAGGAACAAAGGCGGGAGGGGTGCGGCGGGGAGGGGCGGGGGAGGAGCCGGGGCCGAGCGCGGGGCGCCGACACCCCGGCACCCAGGAAAAACTGACTTCTCGGTGTTCCCACTGTCTCCCTCTCGCCTGGAAACACAGAGCGGGGGGCGGGGGGGAGAACGAAAGAAAGAAAAGAGAGAGGGAGGGAGAGACGAAATCAACAGTCCGGGAGGAAGGGGGGCGGCGGAGGCAGAAAGCCGGGGAGAGAGGGAAACCGAGTCAGAGGGAGGAACGCGCAGAGGGGGGAGCGGCTGGGGAGGGGACCCCGGGCGCCCGCAACCCCGCAGGTGCCGCGGCGTCCCGGCACCCGGCTGGCGCGCGTGCGGCGCTCGCTGTCCGGGGTTCCCGCGGCCCCGGGGTCCCCGCGGGCTGCGCTGCGCAGGCAGCAGCCGGGCGGCGGCGGCGGCGGCGGGGACCCGACTTACGTTCCCAGCGCGCGGGGCGCCGCGCTCGCGGAGCTGGCGTGCGGGGCGGACGCTCGGGCCCCGTGGCGACTCACATCGTGCCCGCCTTACCCGGGGGCCGAGCAGGACGGGCCGAGCTCCGGCGGCGCGGCGCAGGGCAGGGCAGGGCAGGGCCGGGCCGGCCGGAGTCCTGCGCCGCCGGGCTCGCCCGAGTCTGGTGGCCCGCGCTGGTCCCTCCTCTCTTCCGCGCGTAACCAATGGCGCGCCGTCCCCTCCCACGCGCCGGGCTGCCGCGCCCCCGAGGTGGCCGCGGGGATCGCGCCGAGAGGGGCCGCCCAGGTCCTCCTGGAGCCCGCCCGCGGGGGGCGCCCCCGCGCCCCGGAGAAAACACGCACGGGGACCGCCGGCGCAGCCCGCGCGGCCCCGCAGCACTTAGTTGGCAAGTTCTGAAGACAGCGCCCCTTTCCCGGGACGGTCTGCACCCCCTGTGGGCTAGCGAGCCCTGAGGTCTCCCGTATCTCTACCGTAGGTCTCCAGACTTGGACCGAAGTGTTTGCCACGGAAGGGCTGGGGGCGCGGGGAGTGGGGGTGGCGAGAGTAGGGCTTTGTCTGGTAGCGGTACCCCAGGGTAAAACAACGCCGTTATGGCGATGCGGTCCTTTTGCGGAGTGCCCGCGGTTGCCCGACGCCATGTGTTAAAAGTTACCGGTCAGAAACCGTCCGACTTTCCATTTGATTGTGTTTCGCCTTTAGGCTTCCGGTCTAGATCCTCCCTTTCCCCCATTCCCGTCCGCCACCCTCACAACCTACCTGAGCAAAAAATGCTTAAGGTTGTTGCACCGTCTTCCAGTGAGATCTGGGGCTGCAGAGTTAATCGCTGGGGGCGCCTGGCCTGGTGGGGGGAAGAGGGGAATGCTGGAGGGGGGGGGGCTTGGACGCCTGTCAGTTTAAAAGGACCAGGCTTCTACAAACACTCCCTCTCTTCCTTCTCCTGACTCAGAGCCTCTGTCCCCCACCCCACCTCAGTCTTGCCCTCCCCTCCTGCTTAGAGAACTGCCTAGATCTTTTTTTTTTTTTAATCTGGTCTGATGGTGGCCACTGTGGGCCTGGAGGGGGGTGGGGTGGAGGGAAGGGGAAAGACAGGCTGATGACATGCTCCATTTCACAAAGTAAGGAAGTAGGGCAGAGGAGAGCAGCTGCCCCTGCTTCTAGCTAGTTAAGTATTTGTACTCAGGTGTGAGATTCCTGCCCTGAGATCCTTAAGGGTTAGTTGAGCAGACTTTGGCAATTGGAATCCGACTGCCTGGGTTCAGACCCTCACCCCTGCTTTTAGTAAAAGTGAGGCCCTGGGCAAGGGGGTTACCTCACCTCTGTCCACCGCCAGCTTCTTCACCCACAGAAGGAGGACCTATCTATGGCTGTTACAGGGATTTCTAGTTATAGCAGCAGGCAGCGCCTTGCTTGTTGAGTGTTGGGTATATGCCAGGAGAGCTGGCATGCCAAGTACACGCCACTGCCCACAAACAGCGCCTGGGCTGGGCAGGAGGGGCTGTGTCCTTTGCAAGGAAGTAAACATAGCACTACCTGGCCATAGCAGTGGCTCCCTGGCTGTTAGCCATCCTCATTACCAAGGCAACTAAACTCAGATCCCACAGTGCCAACAGCTCTGCTCCCTGCTGAACACCTGGGTAGTGATTGCCAGTAATGAATGAATGAATGAATCAGTCACGGACAAGGCTGGAGATCAGAACTGTTTTGAAGTGGGCTGGATGAAGTACATACTTAGAGCCACCTGGATTGGGACTCTGCACAATCTTGGAAACAGCTCACTGCCAGTTCACAGAGCTGAGTAGATTGGGATGGCCACTTCATCTGTCTGTCTGTCTGCCTGCCCTAGATTGAAATGGCCAGTTCATCCCTCCTCTCCTCCTCTCCCCTTCCCTCTTCTCCCCTCCCCTCCCTCTCCTCTCCTCTCCTTTCCTCTTTCCCCTCCCCTCCCCTCCTCTTTCCCCTCCTGACTCTTCTCCCCTATCCCTTTGGGGCTGCCTGTCTGTGCACTCCACTTGAAGCAGTGTCTATGGGTGCAATACCACAGGGCCCAATGGGAAGGGGGCTTTGTAAGAATTGTTGCAAGACCCCCAGCATGGAAGAAGCTGCCTTTCAGTGTTGCCTGTTTGTAAGTCCATCAGTGGGTCACCAGAAGGCAGCTGTCCCTTCCTCCCAGCATAAAGGAAGCAGTCCTTCCCAGATGGGCTATTCCTGTGTGCCAGGCAAGGCTGAGTTCTGGAGTGGACAGGACACTGTTCCCGTCCTCCAGCCTCCTGGGAAACAGATGCACATCCAGGTAGTAAAGTACAGCAGGGGATCCACCCACAAGAACAACTAAGGGCCTTGGGAAACCAAGAAAACATAGAACCCTGACACCCAGAGCTCAACTGAAGGTTGCTCAGGCCCTGAGCTTAAGCCCTGGTAATCGCACAAAATTATTATTATTATTTATTATTATTATGAGGGAGGGACTGGAGAAACCAGAACTAATCATCCTCCCTCCCCACCCACTTTCCCTGCAGGGCTTTCTAAGTGAGTATGTAATCTCTTCCTCCCTCTGCACTTTCTAAAGTCCTGTTCAGCCAATCCAAGAGCATCCCTCAGGCCTGCACTTTGCTCAATTGTCTGTTTTTTCATTGGGCATAAACTCAGCTCTCAGGGAAACAAAGATGGATTGCAGATCTGCAGTTTAGGAGAAGGAATCTCCCTGGGGAGTTTTATGACCCTCACTGCACCTGGAAACTGGAAATAGGGACCCATCTGCTTCCCGGAACTGGTGCAAGCCAAGCCAGGCAACATGATTTTTAAAAAAGGTTTGCCAACTGGAAATACAGAGCCCTATTATTATCATGATGATTGTGACTCTTAAGGTGCAGAAATGTTCTTGTGAAAGCCCCAGGAGTCAGCCTAGCAGGGAGGGGAGCCAGGAGGTGACCATCCCATCAGGGTCACTCCCCTCCTCCTGCCCACGGAGCCTGGAGCATCTGCTGATCCATCTGCCTCTCAGTGCCCTGGAGTGAGGGAGAATGGGGGGGGGAGGGGGGCATCTGCACCTGTGCAGGTGGGCACTTAGAAGTGGGGAGGGGCACGGAGACTGGGGCGTCTGTGGCCAGACTCACTTGTGGATCCTGTTTTCTCAGTCAGTGTGGGTAAGTGAGTGGATTTTGAAGATGCACATGGAAACCAATATTAGCATTGGAGCAGAGGAGACAGGTGGGGCACAGGTGTTGGGGGCTAAGCCTGGGCATAGATGTCTCAGCAGTGACCCTAGGTGGGGGTAGGAGGCTGTGGAGGAGGGGGACAGTATCAGATGTCTGTGGTGGCTGAGCCTAGGCATGTTGGAGCTGACAGACCTGGATTCAGGTCCTGACCGCAGGACCATGGGCCAGTGATTTCACTTTTTGGAGCCTTGGTTTTCTCATCTGTAAAGTGGGGATTGTAGAGAGTTGCACAGCTAATCAGGGTACGCTCTTAGCATGGAGCAGGGCATGGAGACGCTGGTTGCTGAAGCCCAGGAGGGCAGCAGAGGCCCTGGGTATACAGGCATTTTGTAGGTTGTACAGGGTGGCTCTGAGGTGAGGACTGTCCAGCCAGCCAGTGGCCGCCATCCTGGCCCGGGTGAAGGGGACAGGGACATGAGGGAGTGAGCTGAGCTCCCTGAACCTGTAAGATCTTTGCATTCATCACTGAGTAACTCTAGGGACCAGATGGCAGGTAGCATGGGGGGAGGGAGTTTCCAGAACATTTCCTGCCCCTCCCCCCTCCCCCAGCTCCAGAGGCTGATGAGGCTTCCTCCCCAAGCCAGTCCCACTGGGCCTAGTTTCTGCCAAGCCATCCAGTTGGCTGCTCAGGGACTCGGAAGTGTCATGCAATTCCTTACCTGCGGGCAAAAGAACTGATTTTCATGGGATGGAAACGAGGCTTCAATGTCCCAAAAGAAAGCCGAGGCCAGCTTGGAGACTACGGACCTTGGCCAGTCCTTTCCTGTGTTCCATAGGAGAAGGGTTCAAGGTCAGACTAGGACATGGGAATTAGACCTCTGTGGATTGTGATTCAAGTCCCCAGCCTTCTGCTGACTAGCTCTGTGGCCTTCGGCAAGTTACCCAGCCTTTCTGAGCTCTAATTCGTTCATCTATCAAAATAGCAAGAGGGAAATCATGATGAGGCTCTGGGTACTTGGAGGATTAAGTGAGATGTAGGTGTACGTCCTCGGCTCACCGCCTGACTCACAGCTAATGGTCAATAAAGTGTTCATTGACTCAGGGATGAACACATCTGTGGGAGTGCACATAGCTGTCTGCAGGAAAGCCCCCCCCCCCTCCTCCAGGTAGGAAAGGAGATGTCTGGGGTGCCTTCTATACTAAGGCCAGAAGTCTGAATCAGGACCCCTGGTGGGAGCAGCGGATACCTCCACCAATCAAATAAGAGCCTCAGGTTGGCTCCAGATTCTCTCAAAAGTGCTGAGCCCAGGCCAAGAATAGAGACACTTAGGTATTAGGCCCCTTTCTACAGGAGAAAGCTAAGCCCACGGTGGAAGGTCTGGCCCCTAGGACCCACAGTTGGCTACTGGAATATGGCTTGTTTACTCGGGGACCAGGCAACTGGGACAGGTGGTGGGGGCGGGGCTCCGGGAGGGGAGGGCGGGCCCCGTGCAGTCTTCCTCTCCCCCCTTCCCCTCCCCCTCCCCCCTTCCCCCCCTTCCCCTCCCCCTCCCCCCTTCCCCCTCCCCCTCCCCCTCCCCCCTTCCCCCTCCCCCTCCCCCCTTCCCCCTCCCCCTCCCCCCCGCCCCATCCACATCCAGCCCGCGCTGCTCGGGCGACGATGAGTGATGGGTTTATTAATATTCGCGGGCGCAGCCGAGGCGGATCGCGGTAACAAAGGCGGCCTCTCCCCGTGCACCGACGCTTCGTTATGTAATTGCTCCGAGCTGAGCCACCAGGCAGGCTGCGTCGACTGGGCTGGGACCCGGGGAGGCCCCCGGGACTGGGATGGGAGCCAGTGGGGGAGCCAGGTGCAGCCTCACCCTGAGCCCAGGCCTGGCCCGCGCGCCCCGGAGGCGGGGTAACCCGGGCGCGGCCAGGCGCGGCTCTCCCGCGCGCCCGGGTAAAGGGGCATCCCC